AAACATAATTTTATTAAGAAACAAATATTTTTTTAAGAACCCTAAAATCGAGCCAAAGAACACAGATTATTTAGAGTCAAAATCAACCCCACATCTTTCATTTTTTGAACAAATTGACAAAAGGATATGATATATACTTAAATCACAATTAAAATGCCCCAAATATCATGAAGATCAATTCTCAGTAGATCATTCTTTAAAAAATGGTGGATATTTCACTTCCCGCAATTTTCAAAACAAAAACACACCAAAAACAAATTCATATAAATAAATATACTGAATGATAAATCAACATACCTAATGTATTCAATTTATGAAGCCTTGATGATCAAAATTAACCGATCAATTCAATAAAAAACGATCAATGCATAGATTAAAAATCAATTTTTTTTTCTTCGAACACAGTTCTTCGGGCAGCAGCATTATCAATCGAAATCAACCTCCAAAATTCATCTTTTTCAACAAATCGAAATAGAAAAAAGTTTAAAGATTCAATAATGAATCGAAGTCCTCCATTTCCATGCATATTCATATGTTAATGAAAGCTCGTATTGACAAAATGGCAACAATTTCAAAAATCCGCGTTGCAAAACGTGAATCACAGGTTCTGTTCAAAATAACAGCCTATGTGTGAAATAACAGCCGTTATTTAATAAAATACCGTTATGTCCGACATATAATCTGTTATATCAAAAAACCGGATCGCTTAGTAGAAACCGGCTGATTTTGATGTAAAACCGCCGGTTCGAACTCGAACTTGCCTGTTTTGGTGCTCATTTTTTTTGGAGGTCCCCGAATTTTTAGTAGTACCCCAAAACCGGCCTTAACCGGAATCCGTACCTTACCGGTGCCGATCTAACCGGCTGGTTTTACGAACATTGGTTCCAGTGATGCAAAGAGTGTTTGCTAATCTATGGCTTTGATGGGGTTTACGGACTCCCTTTAAATCGTCTTTTGTAACCTTGTTTGAATTTGTTCAATGGCTTTTGTTTAGAACTAGCTCCCAGTTTCTCAAGAACAGTCTTTGCAAGAAATCAAAGGTGCTTCCATGCACTTTGGGTAAAAATGTGATGGTGTTAAAAACATAAACCTCGATTCAGCTTCCTTAATGCGTGATTCTGCTTCCCAAGAGACAAATTTCAACATAATTTTATACAATTAAATAGGAAATGAATTATTTCCATTTCTCATTCTTTCAGAGTGTTTCCAAAACTGTAAGGGGCTCAACGGAGAGAGTTGATCTCCTCTGTTAACCATAGCTTGGGTTTTGACCGTCTGTGAAGAGTGATAAACCATTTCAATTGGAGCTGTCCCCTTCCATTATTGCTTTACAATTTCACTGCTTACAGAGGCACAGTTGTTGTCTGGCAAATGGCCGCAGCAGAAAGGAACTAAACTGTTTTAATGTTAAAGAAACAAATTGATTTACAGAATGAAACAACAGGTGGAACAAAAATATTTTGGGGGCTTAGTCAATATTTACACAAAATGCATCAGCAGAGCGTATACTCGCACTCATTCAATCGGGTAAGTATCTCCTCACAACTAGGCCTTTCCTCTGGCTCTGCCCAACAGTCTGCAAAAGTTACGCATAGATATTTTAAGACTTGACCATTCTATACAAGCATTCTTGCTATTGATAACAATCTTTAAACAAAAACACGCATATCTCTCTCTCTCACACACACACAAACACACATATAGCTCTCTCTCTCTCTCTCTCTCTCACACACACACATGTTTGTGCATGTGGCACTCTGGATTGCTCTGGGATTATAAGATTGGCTAAGGCCCAAAAAACAGTTATTTTTTGAATAAGAAGGTAAATGCCACAGTGAGGTTCTAGACGTCAGCTGTCCATCAATCCAAGGGTTATATTGATCCCAGTTGCCTCACGTTTTCAAACAGGAATGGGTAAAAAGAGTACATAGTAAACCTTTCACCAACCTGAAACTACTGAATAGGTGATTTCTACTTTTCAACACCAATTTTGGATCTTAATTTGGTTTTCACTTCCATAATAAACTTTTCCTTCAAAACCAGCCAGTTCATTCCAACTTCTTGAACAAGCCTATCCAAGTTTTAAAGTAAAACAGGTTGGCTCAAGGGATATGTAAGAAACTAATGGCCTGGTTTCAAAAACATTGTCATACAGTAATTTATAGTGGTAAGGTTTTAAACCTGAAATTAGCTTGCCCAAGGGACCTTCCGGTATCTCCAGCCGCACTCCTTCATGTGCAACTGCATAAATTACCTGAAAAGAAGAGACACCATTATCACTCAATACTTTTCTTTAAAAGAGAAAATGTGTATTATAGTCCATTTGTCCATAATATAAGGTAATCCAAGGCTCAAAGCTACATCAACCATGAGTTCCCAATTACATAAGAGTTGGAGATTAACTGTACCCAAGTGAATAACGCCATATGCCCCACGTCCCAGTTAATATCCAACCAACCAACAGCAGGAACTAACCATGGATGCCAGCTGGAATACCTTGTACCATTGCTAGTGGACTATAATACAACCTTCCCTTCATACAAAATTAACTCAGAAACAAGTTTCCTCTTTAAGAGAAATCTGAGAGCACACACTTGCATCGGAGGGACTCCTTCCCAAGGCCTCCTTAAGGTGCAAAGCTCCCACATTATTACTCCGAGGCTAAAAACATCGCACTTCTCTGTAAAGGGCTCGTTGCGAATGAGCTCAGGAGCCATCCACTCTGGGGTGCCTGCAGAAGAGGAGTCTCTCATGGGCACCTGAGTCATTACCCTTGAGAGACCAAGATCACATATCTTGACAGTCCAATGCTTATTGACCAGGCAGTTTGCACTTTTCAGGTCACGATGTGCTATTGTCATCCTATGTATGCACATCAACCCCCTTCATGACCAGCACAAACCACCATCAGGTTTACATTATAACAAACAGTCCATACTTGATCATCAGAAATAGTCCATAGTAGCAAAATTAAATCATGCAGTGCTGCTAGAAAGAAAAAGGTGACTGCAATCATAGAGCCATAGAGCCATTGTGAGCATGTTCAGTTCAAATATCAGTTTTGTTCACATCTGGGAGAAAAGAAACAAAAAGCAGAGAGGAAAAAGGAGGTACAATACTCCGTGTAGGACACAAATACACACCTGTAAACATTGACATTTCAGGCAGTAAAGGTCAGCCAGATTTAAAGTCTGAAACCATTAAATAATATTGGTTACTGCTAGAAAGAAAAGGTGACCGCAATCATAGAGCCATAGAGCCATTGTGAACATATTAGGTTCAATTATCAGTTTTGGTCACATCTGGGAGAAAAGAAACAAAAAGCAGAGTGAAAAAAGGAGGTACAATACTCCGTGTGGGACTCAAATACTCATATCTGTAACAGACATTTCAGGCAGTAAAGGTCAGCCAGATTTAAAGCCTGAAACCATTAAATATTAATGACATGACACGAAGCAATTTCAGCAGGCTCAGAAAATTTTAAGCACACAGTAAGTCTTAAAACAGGGGATATCACACAAAATTTACGGACAACTGGACATCTTTATGCGAGGACTACAGAGATATAGAATACAGTAATACAATGATGAACACATATGTATCTATATATGTATACATACGTGTAGTGTTAGATCCTAGTAAAAATAGAAAGTTAAAGAGAAAAATAAAATATAAGCAAGGGAAATTCCATTGCATAATAAAAAGGTACCAAGCCACCGAAACAAGGCACAATGTCCTACTGAAAAATTATTTTTGCCTTGGTTGCCATCAAAATATCAATCCATATAGATTTTCAAAGTTCAACCATCCTTATACAAAAAAAAAAGTCTTGATCCTGTAGTGAATACTTAGTAAGCAAGCAAAACTATCACAAAGATTTCGTCTCAAAGGATAACAACAGGTGTTTGAGAACTGTAAAGTGCCCATGCAGGGAATCCAGGTAAGAGGGGTTGATATCATGGTAACTTGGAATGACAAAACGCATAGCAAGGTCAAAAAATAACTCCTGGCAAAACCCAGGCGGTTGGAGTTTTTTTGTTTTGCTTTGTTTTTGGGTTTTTTTCTTTGGGTGGGGGAGGTTTGTTCGAGTGGTTTTATGGGCAACAAGGAGCCCTGACAACAATATATGCATACATGTGCACTACGAATGCATATATTAGCTTCATTTATGTATATTGAAGTGTTTATTCTTATTTTAATACATAAACAGGCAAATATATGCACCTTAATGCCGTAAATGCATTGAAATCATTGAGTCACATATCAAAATTATAATAAACCAGTATCCACTTGTAATGTAAGATTAAATTAACTAAGAGTAAAAATCCAAAAGATATAATGTTTATATTTACATATCCATAAAGTAATAAAGGGGGTGTTTGACTGTGAAAGAGGGGGCTGCCAAAGCGTCCTCTTCCACGAAATATGGAAGCCATCCCTTCCATGGACGGCTTCCTATTTTGATGCTATTTTTAAACCCCCATGGAATGCCATGCTCCCATCTATCAGTTTCCACAGGAGTGAAACGAACATGGGACTGGGATTGGTGGAACTTGGGTCTTCCATTATGCAAAAGTTCTGCCCAAAAGAAACATGCCTAAGACAACTCAAATACTGAATAGCTGGAACGAAATACAAGTCCACAACCTCAAGTCCAAAATTCATAGACTCAGATCTCCATATGCATTCCAAAATCCAAAGTTCCAATTTCTAAACCACAATATTGTGAAAGTCATGAAAGTAAATCGATACAAAATGAATTCAAGAAGAAATTAGTTTTCTACTTCAAAAAAAAAAAGTAAGGTTTATAATAATTTCTAAAATCTCTCAAAAATTTGTAATATCAAAAAAAATAATTCATAAATCCAATGTTTTGATTCTTTTTTTTTTTTTTCTTTTTTTTTTTCTGGTGGGGGAAGAACCAGTCTTGAACCAACTTTGAGGGGTGTAGAATATCCCACCTCCCACATTCTTTTATTTCCCTTCAGAGGGAGAAATGGACCAAAATACCCATTGCCTGAGGGCATTTTCCGCAGAGTGCCCAGGCCCCCTAGGCGGCATGGGGCTAGGCACCATTGGCAGACTGGTTTTTTTCAACAGTGAGGCATAGATCAAGTGATGGTGAACGATCTCATTCCTTCCATACAAATGACCCATTATATCCCTTATGCAACTGCATAATTAAAAGATTAACTAATGACAAAACTGCCCAATAACACAAATTGACAAATGTACCATTTGCAAGTTGGAAATTACAGTTGGGAACATGACTCAAATTGAATAATTAATCAAACCTTAAAAAGAAACATCTGCAGTGCTTGTCAAATTCATTGATATCACCCAACAGTTAATTCTTATAGAATGCACATAATATCACATCTCTGGAACTTGTCATTGGAAAATTAATATATATTTTGATTCCACAACTAGTTGCTCTCAATATTTGTCCATAAAGTATCGCGACTCTGCCCCCCTCTCTAAAATCAAACAACCCCCTGCTCCCATAAAAAGCCCATGGAATCGCCCAAGTTAAATAAAAAGGTCGTTTAACCCCCTCACATTTTTCATTGTCCAAATTACAAAATTTACCGTTCTTTTCTTTTTTCTAATAATTTTAATATAAATTCGACTTTGTGATGCCTCTTTTAACTTACTTGTGAGGTTCAAGGGATGAGAAAGAGATAAGTACTTAGGGAAGGCTGCTAGAGAGAGAGAGGGAGGAAGAGGTCCACTAGTGAGGATGAAAGAGAACGAGAATGAGAGCTTTTTTAGGATATAGATAACAGGGTGATTAAGATAAAAAGAAGGGTAAATTCTGTAATTTGGACAATGAAAAAGATAAGGAGGGGATTAAGCGTCCTTTTTTATTTAACTTTATAGGGATTTTATGGGATATTTATAGGACAAGGAGGTTATTTGGGATTATAGTTTTAGAGAGGAGAGTTTATGTCTTTTTCCCAAAAATAAAAGAGGAAAACCTATAACAATTGACTCAATGGATGAGCATAAACTTCAGTAATGATGATAAAATGGACGATGCAAGCATCAATTTACAGTAATGCTATATTAGATAAGTGAGACAATTTGAGCTTAGAACCTTTAAAGATAAATTCACCATTGGAGGAGTGGGAGCCAGAGAAATGTCATGAAGAGCATTTTGAATGGAATTGCCTAATAATCAAATACAGATTGGCAACTAGGCGCACAAGTGGCATCGAATAAGGAAAACCAGGCGGCTTCTTAAGTTTGAACACAGTAACCAAACATTTTTTGCAAAAAAAATTGTACACCCTTCCATAGCTGCCATAACCATCATTAAATCTCACAGAAACCAATTTACCCATGAGGATGACATCACGAGATCACATATTGCTTATGACAATGAACAAAGGAACGAACTAGAAGATACATTGGTGCATGTGGACAGACCTGCATATGTCACGAAGCATCTTTAATCTTCTGCGCCAACTAATCTTTTTACTCTGGCCACTCATATGGATTAGGTAATATAGTGAACCCATTTCCATATATTCAGTAACCATTGACAAGTGAGGAGGCTTTGTGCATGCACCAAGGAATAATATAACTGCAAAAAGTCAAATTTAATAGTTCAGAATGCAATGAGGAGAAACTTGTTTTCCCTAGGAAATGCAAATAGCATCACGCATCATCTGCACATTAAGTTCCAGCAGCAACAAGATTTCGCAAAAAGATTGGACTTGATGGTCAAATGCAAATATCAGCTTTTATTCTTAGATGTGATTGCAAACACATGGTTCTATTTGTATCCCAGAAAAACAACAAATAAAAACATTCCTCTTTGTAGAAACACTAATTAGGAGCCATCATTTTTGCTAGCACCTACAAGTCACAAGTTAAAAAGGGAACCCACGATGGTAACTTTCAAATCATGAAGATGAAGATGTAGAGCAATACCATTTGGATGCCGTAGGCGACTGGCAAGGGGCACAAATACGAAAGTCAGATTGTGTAAGGATCCCCAACACAAAAAATTTAAAAAGAAAGGATGAAGAAGCTCTCCAAAGTGATTCATAATTAATTTATCACTAATATATACCTAAGGAGTGATATTTCATTGCAGAAATCTTCCATGTTCTCAGCAGTCAAGTCCTGCTCCAAAAAGATCTTAATTGCAACATCTGTCCCATTCCATATACCACGAAACACTTCTCCAAAGAACCCTAGAAAAGAAACCAGGAAACCAACAACAATAACCTTGTCAAACTATCCAATGAAGAAGACTATCTCAATTTTCAAGCCAACCAAAGTGATCAAATTATCAGGAAACTAAACTAGCACATTCAACTTCATATTACAAACCACATTATCATAACAAGAACATTTCAAACTTGGGGAAAAAAATAAATTTCTGACAGCAGAAAGGCCATAACACTATTGGTCACCCTTCATGAATGTAGAAATTATTTGCTATTTTTTGAATTAGAATTATTCTGGCTGAGGAAAAACACTATGTTGATGCATGACGAGTATTTTCATTTGCAACCACATATGGTCTCACAGGATTCAATCACTCATGCGCCCATCATAATTTTTTTTTTAGAAACGTGACTCTCACTGTTAAAATGTTAATGGGTATCACGTGCCACATTCTCTAACTAATGATCAATGGTGGGAAATTCACATATACACATTAACAATATAACGCTGAACATGTTGTCCTTATCAGGTGAGACACATGTATGGTTCCATAGTACTGAGATTTTCATCTTACTAAGAAACTCATACTTTGTTTGAAGCTCTGCTCTGTTTAGTCAAGATCTAGCTTGGTAAACTGTGCAGTTTCTTCATTTTCATAAAGTTTGACTTAAGAATAATTTTCATTCAAATAACCACTATTGTTTTAAATCCAATGTGCACCCAAGACAGACAGAAAACCAACTACATTCTAACAAGAGAAGATACAAAGACATGATAGAAAGTACAAAAGGCTCATACATCTCACCACACATTTGATTGATGGATATATATATCTTAAAATTGGACAATAACTTTAGATGTCCCAAGACTACCAGAACTGGGAGCTGAAAGTTTCTTCTACGAATGTCTAGCTAGGATAACGAAATTAGGATGGCTATGAGAACAATCATCATCATCACCATCATCATTTGAGCCTTATCCTAATTATTTGGGGTCGTCTACACCAATTGTGTTCCACCATTCTGCTCTATCAAGAGTCATACCTTTAATCAGATCATAGGTCACCATATCTCTTCTCACTACTTTCATCCATGCACTTTTGGGCATTTCCCTTGTCCTTTTAAAGTCTTCCACTTGAACCAAATAGCCTCTCCTAACTGGTGTTGTTCTAGGTCAACATTGCACATGGCCAGACCACCTAAGTCTGCTCGCTCATCTTATTGCCTATTAGAGCCGCCCCTAAGTTCCCTCGGATGTATTCATTCCGAATTCTGTCCTTTCTTGTCTTGTTACTCATCCATATCAACATCCTCATCTTAGCTACACTTATATTTTGACCGCCCAACATTCCGTCCCGTAAAGCATAGCTGGCCTTACAACCATCCTATAGAACTTCACCTTATGTTCCATTGGTATGCGACAATTGCATGTGACTCTGGAAGCACATCTCAACTTTGTTCACACAACTCTAATTCTATACGTGATGTCTTGTTCAGTCTCCCCATTCTCATAAATTATTAACCCAGGATATCGAAAATAATCTCTTTTAATTACTTCTTGGCCATCGATCTTAACTAATTCCTAACTTTTACTTCTATTGTTATTAAAATTACTCTATATATTGTCTTAGTTTGGCTAATTCTATCTTTTGATTCTAAAGCATTCCTCCATATTCTAACTTTGTGTTAACCCATCTCTACTCTCATCAATCAAAACCATGCCATCTGTAAACAACATACACCATAATATCTCATCCTATAGATACCTAGTTAACTTATCTATAACCAAAACAAAGAGATATGAGTTCAAAGCTAACCCCTGATGTTGGTTTACTGTCACTCAAAACTCACTTGTCTCTCCACTAGTTGTCTGCACACTAGTTAGCGCTCCCTCATACATATCTCTCACTATATCAATAGATCCTCTAGACACTCTTTTCTTTTCCAACAACCACCAAATTAACTATTTAAGTACCCTATCATATACTTTCTCTAAATCAGTAAAGGCCATGTGGAAGTCTTTTCCCTTCTCCGTAAGCTTCTCAATCAATTGCAAAAGTAGGAAAATAGCCACAATTGCCGGCCTCCTTAGTATAAAATTGAATTGATTTTCTAATACACTCTTTTCATATCGTAGTCATTGCTCAATCACTCTTTCCCACAACTTCATAGTGTGGCTCATAAGTTTGATCCCTTGATAGTTTGTACAATTCTATTCGTCTCATTTGTTCTTGTAAACAGGTACCATAATACTTTTTCTCCATTCATTTGGCATTTTCTTTGTTCTCAAAATCTTGTTGAATATCTTGGTGAACCAGGATATGCTAATCTCTCCCAGGCACTTCCAAATTTGTATTGGAATATCATTTGGTCCTAAAGCCTTTCCTATCTTCAATTTGATCAAAGCTTCTATCACTTTCAGATATCCTAATCCTACGAATGTATCTGTGACCTCCGACCTCATTTATGTCAAAAGCTCCTAAAGATGTGCTCCTATAGTGGTCGTAATTTCGCAATTTTTGAAAATAATTTCTCCACCTTTCGTTGATCTCGTCATCTTTTAGCAAGACCCTCTAATCCTCATGCTTTATGTATTTAACATGATCTAGATCCCTATACTTCCTCTTTCATTTTTGCTAGTTTGAAGACATCTTTTTCAACCTTCTCTTATCCCCAATTTATTATATAGATCATGATTAGCCTTAAATTTCACCTTATAATCTTCTTAGCGTTCTTCTTGGAATTTTATACTCTTCTAAGTTTTGTTTGTTTATAATCGAGTGCCAGGCTTTGTAAAATGATCGGTTTTCGCTCATCGCCTTTTGAATTTCATCACTCTACTACTAAATTTCCTTATCTGAATGTCTTTTCCCTCTAGAATCTCCTAAAACTTCTTTTGCCACTTTATTAATACGATCAGCTATCTCATCTCACATAACATTAACTTTGTCCTCAGTATTTTATTTTCTTTCTTTTATCAATTTATTCCTAAACAAGTCTATTTCCTCCCTTTTAATTTCTACCACCAGATTCTTGGGCACCTATTAATTTCACTCCTCTTCCATCTCTTTATGCAAATATCCATAACCATGTGCCTATTTGCATGGACAAACTCTCTCCTGGTATAATCTTAGGATTTTTACAAGATGGTCAATCTATCTTCTTAACTAGAAAGAAGTCTATTTGGCATTTATATTCTCTACTTTTATAAGTTATTAAACGTTCATCTCGCTTGTTTTTTTTTAATATAATGTTCACTACATGTATTATAATTAAAATATAATGTTACAAATAGGCAACCCACAAAGGGTGCTCTATACAAAACCCCGAGGGTTAAAGAGGTGCTAAACAATTAAAGATAGGAGAGATAGACAAAGGAGAGAACGAATATATTAGAAGGGGCACCAACTATTAAGACGCCAAAGTAGGATTTGAAAGGGCACCCTCCTCAGCCAAAAAACCTGCCACCGTATTAGCTTCAATAAAGATGTGGGTGGTCCAGGACATCCTGATACCACTACAGAGGTGTGAAATTTCTTCGAATATGTAGACTGAATGCCATGGCCAGGGAGAGAGATTGGAGGCCCAAGAGAATGTTTTGGAGGAGGACATCAAGAAACTGCCATCATAACAGCTGAAGAGACCACCAATACCTGAAGGACCTGGGTTGCTAAGGGAGCAACCATCAAAATTGAGCTTAATAGCACCTTGTTTAGGGGGGCTCCATAAAGAGGCCCCAGAGATGGAAGGTGATGAAACTTGCAAGAGATTTCGCCAACTGACTTGAAAGTCAATGACAGAGAAACCCTTGAAAAGATTATGATTTGTGGCCCAAAAGTTTACAAGGTTCTTAATTTTGTCGAGCAAAGATGCAACTGTGGATCTTTCTCCCTTGAAAATTCTATTATTTCTATCGAGCCGAATGACCCAAAGCGTAACTGAGATTGAGGCCTTCCAGAGCAGTATCCCTGCCTTTGGCCAAGGGGTAGAGAAAGGCCAAAAAGAGTTGGGGGATGGATCTGCGAGTGACCTAGGAATACTCGAAGAGTTTAAGAAGGGCAGTCCACAAGGCACAGGCGAACTAACAGTGTAAAATCAAGTGAGCATTGGACTCCTCATCTTCCATACACCTGGCACATCTATTAGGGCAAGACATACCTCTTCTCTGGATTTGATCAATGGTTAGCACCCTTTCGTGAATGGCGATCCAGTAAAAGACTTGAATTCTCGGTAGAAGGATATGGAGCCATGATTTGGATGCAAGGGGGAAGATAGAAGACGGGATTGAGGTTCCAGGTGAAGATGCAAAAGAAAGAGAACACCATGAAGGTGCCCAAAGCAGCATGAGCCCATATGACTATCTTCTCCAGAGTTAGGGAGGAAAACAGAATGAAGCAAACCAGGCAGCTCAATGAACTCCTCAAGTTCGTGGTCAATTAGAGGTCTTCTGAATATTGGTGACCAAGATCTTGTCGCCCTTATGGAAGGGAAATTTTCTACCACTGTGGAGCAGGCATCAGTAGCCAGAAGGAAGAGATTAGGAAACTGTTCCCTGAGAGGGTTGTTGCCTATCCAGTTGTCAAGCTAGAAATTTTCCTTAGTCCCCCCGTCGAGCTAAAGTGGATATGTTGAAGGAAGGAGTCTCAGCATCGAAGCACAGATCGCTTAAAACTAGAGGTGGGCCCAGTCGATCGGCACTATGGGGTCCATAGATGGTTTCCATGGCAGTACCTCCACAGGTGATTCGGTTGAGTGGCAAACCTCCACCACCACTTTCTCAAGAGGGCAGTGCTGTGAGTTCTGAGGTTCCGAATCCACAAAACCCCCTGAGTTATAGAGAGGCACAGTTTGGGCCATAACATCAGCTGATATTTGTGACCATGTTCTCTAGCCCAAAAACATTTCCGCATCAATCTTTCCAATTGTGTAGCCACTGCTGCAGGGATGTGAAATAGGGACATCTGAAACACTGGGGTATTGGCAAGTGCGGCCATGATAAGCATGAGCCTACCTGCCTTGGATAG